TTAGACACCTAATCCAACACAATGTTGATAGTTTATCAGGAGCATTCCAGTCATGAGCTGAGGGCCAGGTAAGGCATACCAGACTCATGTTGTAGGCTTAGAGGCAATCCAGACCTATGCTGAGGACCATGTAGGGGTATTCCAGTCATAGGTTGTGGGCCTAGTGATCTTAGCAGTTCATTTCTCCTGTTGGAGCAATTTCGGAAAGGACACATTATTGAGGTTCGGGCGAGCCGTAATCGGCTACGCTGAATCAGAAGATTCTGAGTGAAATGAAAGGGTAGGCCCTTGGATCTCGAGTTATGAGAATGGTCCCGAGTTATGTGTATATATATATATATGTATATATGTATATATATATATATATATATATATATATATATATATATATATATATATATATATATATATATATATATATATATATATATATATATATATATATATATATATATATATGTTGGTATTCCAGCTCGAGGCTGATTGGGCCAGGTATGAGTGTTTGTGATGGTTAGCGGGTTGTATTATGTATGTTGCCTTATGGTAATCGCCTGCATGATGGTATGCTATGAGGGATTAGTAGGCGACATAGAGCTGTGTGTTTGTTGTTTGCCGGTATTATGTGCATATCTGATCCAGATGGTCTATTTGATGACAAATTGTGTTCAGTAGGTTTGAGGCAGTAGGGTTGGTATTCCAGCCCGAGGATGATCGGCCAGTCATGGGTGTTTATGGTTATGGGATAGCAGTAATGTATATTTTGGTTCGGGAGTTAAAGGAAGCATTGCCGGTCGGCACAAGGAGGTTCATATCCCAGTTGTCTCCCATTGTTCATCATATCCTAGGAAAATTTTGCCATCAGAATTAGCTTTATCTGCAAGGATTATCGAATCTCTCTTGTCTAGTAAGGAATTGTTGGCAACAACATATAATTTGAGAATTCGTTTTCTGGTGGGAACCTCAAGTTACCAGAAGTTGGATAGTCACTTTAAGGGATAAGTGGAATGAAGTTAGCAATGGTTCAGCACGAGCGGTCTGTCGGGGAGTCGGACCGGATTCGAGATTCCGGGTTTCAGATTTCAGATGAAGTGGGATTGGTTGCTACGTAGAATTTTGGATTTGGGTGTCTCTGAGGTGAAAACCTTCTGTTAGGTTTTATCATCTTGGGAAGGTCGTTGTGAGTTCAAGTTGTGAAGGTGCCCCTCAGGAAGTCGAGCACGTCAAGAATGGTAATGAATGATTTCAAGGACGAAATCGAATTTAAGTGGGGGAGAGTTGTAACATCCCGGAATTTGCAAGGTATCTTTGAATCCCCCTTCTAGTATTAATTGGTCATTTATAGTCCCTTTGATTGGAGGAGTGAAGTCATGAGAAGCCTAAGGGCTAAAGTTGCAACATTGGGATCCAGAAGAGTACGCTAAGCGTACATAAGTTACGTTGGGCGTACTAGGCGTATCCTAGTACGCTGGGCGTAAGCTTGTGTACGTTGGGCGTACTCACGTCAGGAGGAAACCCTAATATTTAGGGTTTGGGTGCTATATAAACGTCCTTATGAACTCAAAACCCTTCACCATCTCAGCCTCCATAACTTTGAGCCGTTTTCCCCAAACTCTAACCCCTCTCATGAGTGTGTGAGATAAAAGTGTGTGTTTTGAGTGGTTGAAGAAGAAGGTATTGCATCAACAAGTTGGAGAAGGAAGGCAAGCTTGAAGATCTGAGGTTATCTTGTCCTCTAGAAGCTCCAGGAGGTAAAAGCTCCAACCTTTGTGCTTATATGAAGTAGATCTTGCCTTATTAGCTTTATGGCACCTTTTTGTCCTAAAAGTACCAAGTTGATGCATGATGTGAATTGGACGAGATAACTGTCCTTTCAGACCCTTGAAGAGGTCCCAAGTGATAAAAATGATGTCCCAATAGCTAAATGTGTTTCATGCATGGAGTAGGAAGGTCTTAATGGATTAAGACCATGTATTAAGAACTTTCTGGACGTCCAAAGTGTTAAAGTTTGAGACTTTATAAGTCTTGGGCATAATTGGTCAATGGATCTGAAGTTTGGGCTTAAGTGCTTAAGCCATTAAGCACTTATTAGAGTTTTGATGAAACTCGCGTACGCCCAGCGTACTGAGTCAACCACCCCGATGGTGGTCAATGCAAAATGGAAGTACGCCCAGCGTACCAGAGGAGTACGCCTCGCGTACGCCCTCTGTTGGACTCTTAGCGATTTGGGCTTCGGGTTTGGGCTGCTTTTTGGGCTAGTTTGGCATGGGCCTTGCTGGACCTTCTGAACATATGTGTTTTGGACCAGTTTTGGTAATAGATCTTAAGTGAGGCCCAATTATGGAGTTTGGCCCAATTTGGAAAATTGGGTCAAGTGTGGGCTTGAAGTATTTTGGGCCTTTGAATCAAGAATTGGGTTTAGCCTCCATTGGATTGTGATGGAATGCCTGGGGTTTTATGGTTTGGACTTTTAGCTTGTTGGATCTTGTGAGTGAAGGCCATTAGGCCCAATTTGGAAAATTGGGCCATGATTGGACTTAAGGATTTATTTTGGGCCTTTTGTCATCTAGTTGGGCCTTGCCTTTGGGCCAAGCCTGAGGAAGGGTAAAAAGGTCTTTTACCTTGTATTGTATTCCTAGTATGAATCAGTGGCCAAATGTTGATGGATTGTCATTTTGGTTAGCGCGCCTGTGGTATCAGATCTGCAGTCAGCTGTTAGTGGGGTGTTGTTTTGATGATTAGCGGTTCGGGATTCTGTCGGCCAACAACCAGGGATCATCTGCGTGATCGGCAGTGTGAGGTGAGTTGTCCTCACTATACTAAGGGGTCTAAGGCTCCAAGGCCGGCCCATTGGATTTGATATCCTAGTAGTTATTGATATGTTGAGTATAAGTAGCTATGCATGCTAGTTGATATGTTAGAGGGTAGATCTGTAGGACTACCTGTTATATGGTCTGATTATCTGTATGTGTTCTTAGCTGTATATGTAGACATGTTGTGTGGGTAGGGTTGAGGTTGCACTGCTTCGTGTGGTGACCAACAAACCCTGGGGTATGCCATATATGAGCTGAGGGCCGGGAAGGCATACCAGACTCATACTGAGGACTCATTAGCATACCAGATACGGGCTGAGGACCGAGTGGTATGCCAGACTCGTACTAAGGGCTTGAGGATATTGGAGCATTCCAGTTGTGAGTTGAGGGCCGAGTAGCATGCCAGACTCACACTGAGGCTTGATCAGTTATGTTTCAGTCTTCGAGTTGAAGGGAGCAAGCCAGTCATAAGTTGTGGGCTCGAAAGCAAACCAGACTTATGCTGTGGGCTCGGAGGCAAGCCAGATGTGAGCTGTGGGCCCGGAAGGCAAGCCAGACTCACACTGTGGGCCCAGGGTGGGGTAATCTAGTCTATAGAGTTGTGGACCCATTACATGTTGTATTATGTATATTATTTGTTATGTATCGGTATTTTGGGGGAACTCACTAAGCTTCGTGCTTACAGTTTCAGGTACTCCAGATGTTTTGGCAAGGCGAAGGCGTGACCGTACACATCCTCATATTTTGATTTGGATTTCTGGTAAAACTATGATATGAAAGCTATTTTGAAAACAATTGTAATAACTAATGGTTTTTGAATGATTTGAAAAGTTTTAAAATTGGCTTGATTTTTATGGGTGTTACAAACAAGGAGGTGGAGGGGACACCAGTGCCCAATTTAGTTGGGCATCCAACCAAAACACAATATATGGAACATGCAACAGGTGTGGTATTGATCACCTCCCGTCTCAATACCCTAACCGTGATCCATCACCCATACACACACGACCGCGCCTACTGCCAATTTTGCAGATTTTCTTTCACAGACATCCAACTCGTGGCTGCCAGAAACTGGTTCTAGTCATCATGTAGCTCCTGATCTATTGAGCTTTGACCAGTATGAGGCATATCATGGCGAAGATAACATCCATGTTGGCAGCGGTAAAGGTTTGCTCGTCATTCATATTGGTTATTCCAAACTATATTCTTCAAATAAATCCTTTTCTCTCAAAAATATACTTCATGTTTCAGAAATCAAACAAAATCTTCTTTCTATTCAAAATTTTTGTCAAGACAACAATGTCTATTTTGAATTTCACTCTTTCTTTTTTACTGTGAAGGACGAGATTACTCACAATATCCTCCTCACGAGTCCAAGTAATGACGGACTGTACTCTTTTCAGCTACCGCGGATAAAATCAGTTCCTAAAGTTGCTTTCTCCGCTACCCGAGCTTCTTCCATCATTTGGCATCAACGCTTAGGACATCCTCATTCTCAGTTGTTGAATACAATGTTCTCTAAATATCATTTACCTTCATCAGATACTTTTGATGTTTCTAGTTGTGATTCATGTTCTATAGGAAAGTCATCAAAACTTAACTTGTTACCTTCTTATTACAAAAGTACAACTTATTTATATATATTGTTTTGTAATCTTTGGGGACCTGCTCCTTTTAGCTCTTTTGATGTCCATCAATATTTCCTGTTATGTGTTCATTTTTCGAGATACATGTGGTCTTTTCCGTTAAAGTCTAAATTTGATGTTTATGACACATTCAAAGCATTTATGGTTACTGTTGAACGTCAATTTAGACTCAAAGCAAATTTGTTCAAACTGACTGGGGGGGGGGGGGGGGAATTATGTAACCTTTCTCAGTTTTTCTCAAAACTTGGCATCACCCATCTGCTCTCATGTCCGCACCTAAGTGAACAAAACGGTTTTGTTGAGCAACATCACCGTCATGTGGTTGAAACTGGCCTCGCTTTTCTCACTCAATCTCATGTCCCACAAAGCTTTTGGCATTTTGCTTTTGATGCGTCTGTCTATTTTATCAACCTTATGCCATCCCGATTAAACTCCAATACCCCCCACCCCTTAAAGTTGTGTTCAAACATACCCTTAATTTTCATTCCTACGAGTTTTCGGTTGTAGATGTTATCCACATATCCGTCCTTACAACAAACATAAAATGGATTTTAGGTCCATTAATTGTGTGTTTCTTGGTTATAGTACTTCACATCATGGGCACCGTTGCTACGATCTTCTGTCTGAACGACTCTACATTACTCGACATGTTCGATTTCATGAGCAATGCTTCCCGTACCACAATGTGCCTCCTACAACATCACCAACGTCAACATCAAATCCTTATGTTGCATCTTACCCTACACCACCACCCACTACGGATGACCTACATACAACTACTTCACCACCACCACCCACTACGGAACCACCTACCCACACCGACACCAACCCGTCATCGGTTCCGTCAACATCCTTGCCACGGCCACCATTGCTTCATACTTATCAACGACGAACCAAACCCACAACCACCACTCATACGGACTCGAAGTTACCCGACTCACCACCGTCACGTCCTTGTCCATCAAACCTTCGCCCTAATCCCAAAACAACTACCAAATTTCAAGCAACTACCTATCACACCCATGCCACCATTGAAACAAAACCTGCTACCTTCAAAGTTGTTCATAATGATCCAAAATGGCGATCTACCATGCTTGACGAGTACTCAGATCTTGTTCGGAATGACACATGGACATTGGTCCCATGTCCACCCAAGTCAAATATCATTGACTGCAAATGGGTTTACAAACTCAAAAGAGATCAAACGGGGAAGGTCATAAGGTATAAAGCACGTCTGGTTGCCGAGGGGTTTCGACAACAACACAAGATTGATTTTCAAGAAACCTTTAGTCCGGTTGTAAAATCAACTACCATTCGTGTTATCTTGTCTCTTGCTATCACACAAATGTGGCCACTACGTCATCTTGATATACAAAATGTTTTTCTGCATGGTGATATTCATGAAACTGTTTATCTACGTCAACCGGAGGGTTTTGTAGATCCTGCTAAACCGAATCACGTGTGCCTCCTTCATAAATCCTTATACGGATTAAAGCAAGCACCATGCGCATGGTTTCATCAACTCTCTACTGCCTTGCAAACCCTTGGTTTTCATGCATCCAAGACCGATCCATCATTGTTCATTTACTCTTCAAAGGGTGTTCTTCTATACATATTGGTATACGTAGATGATATTATTCTAACTAGAAACAACTCCGGTGCTATCGAGAATGTTGTTCATACTCTTAGCCAAACCTTTGCACTTCAAGATATGGGTCCTCTATCCTGTTTTCTTGGGATTGAAATAGTTAAACAGGGACAAGACGGTCTTCTTTCTCAAAAGATGTACATTCTTGAAATATTGGAGCGAGCAGGGCTATCTCATGCTAAACCGGTTCCAACCCCGATCACCACCAATGCAAACCTATCTCTTGGTGACAGTCCTGAGTTTGATAATCCGGTTAAATATTGCCAAATTGTTGGAGCCATTCAGTATGTGACCTTATCTCGTTTAGATCTTACTTTTGCTATCAACAAGGTCTGCCAATTCATGCATCCCCCGACTGAAAACCATTGGTCGGTCGTGAAGCGAATTCTCATGTACCTTCAAGGTACTATCTCTCATGGATTATTGTTTAAACATGACTCTGCCACACTTTTACATGCCTATACGGATGCAACCTTTACTCCTTTGACTGCCTTCTCTTTTCTCTTATGCTGATTGGGTTGGTTGCCCGGATGACCGACGATCCACGGGGGGAAATGCCATTTATCTTGGCTCTAACCTTGTCTCATGGTGTGCACGTAAACAAAAGACTGTCTCGCGCTCATCCACCGAATCTGAATACAAAGTTTAGCTGATACGGTTGCAGAACTCACATGGCTTCAAACTCTTTTATGTAAGTTATGTGTTGTTGTCTCTACTGCTCCAACTTTATGGTGTGACAACTTAGGCGCTACATATTTAGCAGCAAATTCTATCTTTCATGCATGTACAAAACACGTTAAAGTTGATTTTCATTTTGTTAGAGAGAAGGTTGCTCCCATCAACCAAAGGCTCAGTTTATCTCCACAAATGATCATATTGCAGATGTGTTCACGAAACCCCTACCTTTACAACGATTTACTTTCTTACGAGACAAGCTACAAATTGATAGACGATATATAATTGCATTTATATATTAGAGGGTTTAGAGTGTAAATATGTATTTGTATATATACTCTTGTAATCGTGACTTATTATTGATATAATACAATTACCAAGTTTAAGTGGTATCCATATAACACAATATAAATGTACATTTTATAATAAAAAGAAACAAAAGTAGAATGATATATACGTACACAAATTGATAGATAAATTTACGACTTCCCATGAGTAATCAATCGATGCTAAAATTGAATTCAGTTATGTACAAATATATAGCATCCTCAGTTCACTCCCCCCTATAATTTGAATACAAATCCCATGAATCTGACCTTCTATTGATCAATTGAATTCATATCTCAATCTCACAACAAAATTGAAAAATAATACAACCACCCATAAATTCAAATCAATTTTTTAATGTTGGTTTGAATTATTGTCATCTCCATCCAATTCACAATACAACACCCCTCTAGCATCTTCCCCTTGAGTCAACTCATTACTCTTTTTGGGTACTACTTCAACTTTCTCTTGTGTCATTAAAATCCTGTCTCTTTCTGATTGGCTAATTCTCACCGATTCTTCCTTCCCAATTAGCATTTTCCCAGGTTTCCTTGTCGTCACTAAATCCCCCACCCTCACCTAAAAAACAAAGTCAACCTTTCTTGATTTCCTTTGCAAATTTCAAGAAACAAGAAAAAACATATTGCTTTTTTACTTGATATAAACAGATGTCTTAACAATTTCATTTTTTAGTGGTTTCAAAATATACAGTCGATTATTACTCAACATGGCTTCTAGACAGAAGGGTAAAATGGTCATTTTGTTAAAAAAAAAAAAAAAAAAGTACCTGCATTGGTGTCATAACATCAGGGTCTGGATCCTTGGGTAGAATAAGTGCTTGAGCTTGTAACTCCATTGAGTCCCGAACAAGTTGACTTAAAAAGGTGACATCATCAGACATGACACCAAGCCCTTTTAAAAGCCTTGACCCAAGTTGCAAACTTGTCTGCAAAAAAATAATAGTTACATTATAAAAAATACCCAAAAAGACAAGTAAATTACATTTTTGGTCCCTAAGGATAGCTGTCTTTTGCAATTTTGGTCCCAGTTTGAGGTTTTTGAAACGTTGTTAGTCCCTATTTCAAGTAATATGACTATATTTTTGGGATCAAAATTGCAATAATCAGTTATACCTATGGACCAAAAATAGTCATTTATGAATTTTGCAATTTTGGTCCCAATAAGTTTTCTTTAGCAATTTTGGACTCGTTTCAGGTTTTTGTAACGTTTTTGGTCCCTGTTCCAAGTAATATGACTATATTTTTGGGACCAAAATTGCAATAATCAGCTATACCTAAGGACCAAAAATAATCATTTTTGCAATTTTGCAATTTTGGTCCGAAAAAAGTTTTCTTTAGCAAATTTGGACTCGTTTCAGGTTTTTGTAACGTTTTTGGTCCATGTTCCAGGTAATATGACTATATTTTTTGGACCAAACATGCAATAACCAGAAATATTAGCCAATATATTTAAAACATGGACCAAAAACATTACAAGAATCTTAAATAAGGACAAAATTCGCAAGAGAAACCGATTACTTTATTAAAATCAAAATTGCAAAAACCAAGGACTAAAATGGTAATTTACCTCAGCATTTTCAAGAATAGCATCTGTTGCCCCTGCTGCCTTCAAATCCAAAAGATGTGGAATGTCCTGAGCTCGGGCATATATGGGTATCTGTAAATTCAATTTTTTTTATTAAGATATTAACTAATTTAACTATTTCACTTAAAAAACAATCAAAATCTTTTTTATATTTAGAAAAAAAATTACTGCAGGAAATGCAAGACGAATCCTTTCAACAGCTTCAACTGATCTCTCCTTTCCCTCATACATCACCATGACTGCTTTAGGAGATGATATTCCAGCAGATTGTAAAACAGCTGCACGTGATCCATCCCCATATAATATAGGGAATCCAAGTTTTCTTGATGCCTAAATTCGATTAAACCAATCAATTTCCAATATATGTAGATATTAAATAGAAAAAAGAGAAAAAAAAAAAAAAGAAAGTAACCTTTACTACAGATGGATCAAGATCAAAGGCAACAAAAGGCCACCCTGCATCCCCATCTAAACCAGAAACCAATGGAGTTGACAAAAAATTGGCAAGAACTTGACTCGTTTGTCCAAACCCTAAAATTACAACGGGTTCACTAGCATCAAAATTCGCCTCTTCCATAGTTTTCTGCATCAAAGTTATAGAATCAGTATGTTGAGAATCTGTCTATGTGATTGTTACAATTTATCATATAGTCGATTTTTCTCTCTGGATGTTGTGTATTGTATAAAAATGGCAGCTTTTTTCTTACATCTTCTTCATCGACATTTTCACCAATAAAAATGGAAGCTTTTCTTCCAAGATCGTTGAGTAAGGGGGTGAGTGCCATTGATAACACAACAACAATTATAAGAAGCTTGTTAAGCTCTAGTGGCAACACCCCTAGCCTGAAGAAAAAGAAAAAAAAAAGTTAATTTATAACAAGTGGAACGTTTATAAAAATGATTAAAAGAATGGAATATATATATATATATATATATATATATATATATATATATATATATATATATATATATACATTCTAACCTGTTTGCAAGTGAAAAAACAACGAATCCAAATTCACCACCTTGAGAAAGAAGCAACCCTATTCTTACACTTTCTTGCAAAGTTAATCCAACACGTGGACCAATTGCTGTTATAATCAATGTCTTAATTACGATTAATCCTGCTAAGAGTGATAATACATTTGGCCACTCTCGAATAAGTAGCTGCATACACAAAATAGATTTAACCTAATTAGCGATAGATTATAATTCATGTAACAACGACTCTACAAATAACATCTTTTATCAAATCTTGATCGATAAAAATGCAATTAATTGATACGTAAAGTCACGAATTGTAAAACGAGTTGAAAGTAAAGAGGGTAAAAAGGTAAAAACGAGTGGATACCTGTGTATCAATAGATGTGCCAGTAGTTACAAAGAATAACCCTAGAAGTAATCCTCTAAAAGGTCTTATATCAGCTTCGATTTGTGTTCTGAAATTTGTTTCAGCTAAAAGAGCCCCAGCTAAAAAAGCTCCAAGCTGCAGAATTTTATAAATTCAAGAATGACATAAAGGTATATGATAATAATTATAAAAAAATAAGTAAAAAAAATAAATCAAACCGTGTCGCTGAACCCTAATTTCTGAGTTATAAGTGATGTTCCAGCAACTGTTAGTAAACAGAGTGCTACAAAAGCCTCTGAGCTTCTTGCTTCTGCAACAACCTGAAACATATGAATATATATAATTTGCTTCTGTAAAATACACTAAAAACATTCTCTTTTTTTTTATTTAAAAAATATATACCTCGAAAACACGCCTGAGAAGGAATTTCCCACCAAGAGAAAGAATACCCAATCCACCTAAAGCTTTTAAACTTTCTTTCACAAGCATTGGTAATATACTCTCGTTCACTGGATTCTGCAAAAAGTAGATTCAAATTACATTAGTAAAAGTAGAAATTAAATTAAAGAAAGTCAACAGTGAAAATCGTTGACCTGGCTCTCTAAAACTGGAAGTATGACTAAAAGTGGCACCACTGCTATATCCTGTAAATACCAACACCCATAACTCATAAGTAATCTTTAATTCAAGATTCAAGATTCAAGATTTATAAACATGAAAGCCAAAAGTCTACAAATTATATAAATCTAACCTGAAATAAGAGTATTCCAAGAGTAGCTGATCCAAATCGAGTTGCTAGCTCACCTTTTTCTGCAAGAAGCTACATCATACTAGGTTAGCATATTGTATATATATACATATATACATATATAGTCAACAACATATAAAATTATGTATGAACAAAAATACCTGTAAAACAAATGCAGAAGATGACAATGAGAGAGCAGCACCAATGACTATAGCTTCATCAATACTTCTTATGTTCACCTGCAATCCTTTTAAACAAAGAATTAATGACAAGAAGTATCAAATCAAACTATAATTTATTGCTATTTGAGTATTTTTCTTCTCTCACCAGATCAGATCTTGAGTGAAAAAGGAACTCCAAAATGCGTGTTCCAATAGCTCCATTAGGTGGGAGTTCAAATGCTGTGAAAGCAAGAGTAGATAGAACAACCTTTTTCACAAAAAATAGAGAAACAATAATCGGTTAATAAATAGTACATACAATACATTTTGTTGATGATAATCATTTGAAATTTCTTACTTGAGTTAAACCCATACCAAAGGCGAATTTAGCAAGAGCTTTCAAACGTGCTAATGAAAGCTCTAAACCCATTTCAAATAGCTGCAAATGCAATGTATAGATATTAAAAATTAGATTAAATTAAGAACTAAAAAGATGGATAAAGCTTATATGAGGTTACCAAGAAAAGAATGCCCCATTCAGAAAGAACTTTAACATCTGTAAGATTTCTAATCAATCCAAATTGATTAAGCACAACTCCCGCAAAAAAGAAACCAAGTATCTGAAATATGATTATATCTTTTGAGTAAAAACTAATAAGGGTAAAAAGGGAAGAAATTGTTTGAAGTTTTTATAAGCTTACAGGGCTAGCTTTGACAATCTTGAAAGCGGGAACAACCAAAACAGTAACAGCTAAAAACGTCAAAGTATCCAATCCTAAATCATTGATGACTTCAACGGCGCCACCAACGTCAAGTGTTGCATTCATACGAAATCTTCCTCCTCTGAAAGAGGAACTATGATTCGAGATATAAGATTGTCGACGACCACAAAATGAGGAAGTTAACAATGGTGGAGTATTTGGTAGATTTGAAGACATATGAACACAGTATTGTATCCTGCGACACATGGAAAATGCCGGCGTGTGGAGTAGTTTGTCGTATCGATTTGGGCCATTGTAAATGTGTCTGAAACGGTGTTTTAACGAGTGGTGATTGGATGTTTTAGAGCTCCGATGAACAATAAGGTCATGACCCTGAAAACAGAGAAATTACCGATTTTTATACTTCGCATATTAATTCCAACAAAGGGTGAACTTTCTCGATTTGTATGATTAGGGTATAAGATAAGAGTAGATTGAAGAAGATGGAGTCGAGGATTCTTACCATGGGACCATGGCAAGAAGCGATTGCTTCAAGCATTATAGAAGATGATGAAGCTCACCAAACAATTAGGTTTAATTTGAGGGAGATAGCAGCAGACATTTGGGAACAAGAGCTTTGATTCTCCGGAAAATTGGGGGATTTTTGGGTTGAAGAAGACGACGATGTTCTTGTGTTCGATATCCGAAGTAGTGTGTATGAGTAGAAAAGAAAAAATGGCCACACGTTGAAGCCTTGTGAGAAAGTCGAAATGAAGAAAAATAGAAAAAGATTCGTGTGGGGGATTCTTGTGGCAATTTTGTCTAGTAATAATCACATATTTTAAAAGGGAGAAAAAAATAAATTACATTGAGTATAAAAAATTATTATTATTATTGGTTATAATTTGCAGAATAATATAATTCTCCTTGTAAATTGGTCGTTGGAATCACTCCACGAAGATAGATGGAAAACCTAAATAAAATAAATAAATAAATAAGAGTGAAATTGCTGACGTGGTGGATTGCTGGAAATTGGATAATGTGATACACGTGGATTCTATAAGTAATAATTGAAATATACCAAATATAAAAATAAAAATATGATAATAAACAACCCATCTTTTAAGCGATTACTCCGATTCTTTTTATAAATATTAATAAACAAGGTGTAAGCGATTACTCCGATTCTTTTTATAAATATTAATAAACTAGGTGTGAGACCTGTATATTATACGGGTTTGATAAAACGAAAAATTAAATATGAAAGTTTAAACAAAAATTTATTTAAATTTGAAATTTTAGATTTAAAATTTAAAATTTGAAATTTGAATTTAAAATGAAACATATTAAATACTATATGAGTACTAATATTGTCATTTATTGGTTATTTTCAATTAAAACAATTATTAATTGAGGTGTAAATATGATGTGTTAATTAGAAAAAGATAAAAAAATAATAATAATATGACAAATGGAAAAAACATTTAATCAAAAATACCAAGAAATGACATTTGTTCAAGTTAATGAGAGAGTGACATGTGGCAAAATTATTTTCATTTATTAGGGAGGACGTATGTATTGTTTTATTAATTCGAAAGTTTTTAGCGAAAAGTTAATTTTATCGACTTATAATTTAAAATTTTCTAGTAATTTAATAAATTGATGTCAACCAAATAAGTTTAGAAATAAAAATGATAATTACATCAAAAATCACGATATGGCATTTGAATTAACACCCACAAAAAAATTTCTCTTTAAAAATCTTATATATTTATTAAAAATAGTGGTCAGCCAAAGGTTGAAGTTTTTAATATAAACATTTAATAATATGGACTTAACTTTAGTTTTTAATATAAACATTTAATAAGGCCTTCTGGTATCTCATCACGAGAGGGTTCGTGGTCTACGTAGCCACTAACCACAGATGTGAACACCATCCCAAGGTTTTAGTGGTGGCTAGTGGTGGAGCTATTTCGTTGTCATCTGTGGTGGGAAGAATGGAACACCACAGCCAATAAACTTGCTTCTCTCTCTATTTCTCTCTATTTCTCTCTACCTTTCTCCACCTCTCTCTACAATTTAATTAATTAAAAAATATATTTTTTTTTAATTTTAATAATCAAAAAATAAAAGGGATAGTGGTGAGTATCCCAAACTTTTAGTGGTAGTTAGTGGTGATGATCTGGCACCCACCACTATAGTGGTTAGTGGTGGGTATAACGGATGGCCTAATATGGACTTAAGTACAAACATTTAATAATATTAACTCGTAAGTAATATTTTTAAATACACAATAATTTATGTATAGAATTATATAATATAAAAATTTGAAGTAGATCGATTCCCTACTTATAAGATAGAATAAAGATACAAATTTTTGATTTGGGCAAGTTTTATATGAAATGATTGTACAGATTCAAGGCAGCTTCATTGAGTAATAATACAAGGGCAAAATGGTCCATAAGCATCAAAACTATATATTTCTTAATAATATTCAATATTAGGGCAAAATGGTTAATTGGCAAATAATACATAAATATGCTTCTTTTTTTTATAAAAATAACTGCTTTATAACAGGTTATGAAAGTAGATTTGGGCAAGTTTTATATGAAATGATTGTACAGATTCAAGGCAACAATATTAAGTAATAATAGATGGGCAAAATGGTCCATAAGCATCAAAATTATATATTTCTAAATAATATTCAAGTTCATTATAGAGTAAACTACACGAATCGTCTCTCGTCCAGGTGCCAAAATGCACGTTCAGTCCCTATTTTTAAAAATTAACTCGAACCGTCCCTCGTTTGGTTAAAAGTTACACGTTTCATCCCTCGTTAATTTAAATTTACACGCTTAATCCATTGTGATAGATGAAATGACTACAATTTTATTTTTCATTTATTTTTAACATTTCTGATTATTTTTAATTATTGAAAAATATTTTAATTAAAATATATTTTTTTCCTCTTTTGTCACACTTAACCACCAGCACCACCACCAGTAAATAGAGTTCCACCGGAAATGTGCACAACCACCCCTTATCACCACTACCGGAAAATAGAGTTCTACCGGAAATGTGCACACCCACCCCTTATCTTCCTCTCCCAATGTGCTCTTCTCCAGAACTCGAAAATAAAAAATAAAAAATATATGAAACTTGTAACCCAAATGATTCTAGAAACAGAAAATTGTTTCAGAAATCTCAAAATCGTTTCAGAAATCAAAAATGGTGTTGGATCCTTTTGAAAACCTGAAATATACACACCGGTTTCTCTCCCTCTGATCTCACCTGATTTTTTTCCTGAAATCATTGACCCTTCATCGCAATTTGTTTCCTTGTTCTTCTTCCTGATCAGAGAAACACAAAACACAAACACACCTTGTGTATGTCTGTTGATGTGATACACAGAGAGAGAGAGAGAGAGAGAGAGAGAGAGAGAGAGAGAGAGAGAGAGAGAGAGAGAGAGAGAGAGAGAGAGAGAGAGAGAGCAAACATGATGTCACCATCGCCACCCGTATGCTAGGGTTTTGAGAAATCGGGATGAGATATGTGGTTTCAGATCAAGAACTTTGGGGGTTTCATGAAGGATTTCACTTTGGGGTTTCAGATCGAGCATCACCACCACAATAATCTCTTCTTCCGTTGTGTGTCGCCACCACAGTTGGAGTTCGATTGGTGGTTTTAGGAGGAGGCTGTACAGGGTGGGAAACAGGTTGAACACGCAGAGGAGAGCCGTCGATGGAGACGATCTGTGTTCGATCTGAACCTGGTTCTCCGATCTGAATCTCCCTCTTCTCCGATGGACTTATGATCTGGTCCGGTGATTATACAAACCGAAGACGACGCACTGAAGAAGAAATGAGGGAAGGGAGATGATCTGTTTAGGGTTTATAGTCTTTCTTTTATTAAAGAAAATAATTATTTTTATAAAAAAACAATAAATAATTAATTAATAACAATTAAATGGAAAATAAATCATAAAAGAAATAAATAAGGGCAAAATTGTCTTTTTATGTCCGAAGGGATGAAACGTGCAACTTAAAACCAAACGAGGGACGGTCCAAGTTAATTTTTGAAAATAGGTATTCAACCTGCATTTTGGCACCTGGACGAGGGACAACTCGTGTAATTTACTCATGTACTCTTCATTATAAATACAACAAAACCCAAAGTTCAACAATAGGTCATATCAAACTTATAAAAACATATCACCAAGAACAAGAACAACTAATTATTTAATTTCCAGTCGTAAATTTAAGGGAGATGCTATTAACACAATGGCGTTCATCTGTTGGTGTACGAAAACCTTCACCTTTGAATACATGCCCAAGATGCCCTCCACATGCTGCGCACGTGATCTCCACCCTCATTCCATCTGGATCAGCCTATCAACATCCATACAAGTAATTAACCCATAAAGATTAGGAAGAAAAAATTATACTTTTTGATCAGAAAAACGACTCACATGGCGGTTTATAGCTCCGGGAAGACCTTCATAGAACGCCGGCCACCCACAACCGGAGTTAAACTTTGTGGTTGATTTGTAAAGAGGAGTGTTGCATCCTGCACAAGTGTACACTCCCTCTTCATAAAAATGATTATATTGACCTGTTCCTGGATACCTGTTAATCAACAAACACTCTAATTCAATTCCAACAATTCATTCATCTTTCAAACAAATTACCAAAAACTTCAGAACTGGAGAACGAAAAACTTACTCGGTTCCTTTTTGTCTCAAGATACGAAACTGTTCAGGAGATAGAACTGCACGCCACTCATCCTCTGATTTCTGAACGGGACCGGAATCCGCCATAGCCAGAATTCCTCCTCTAAACCCTCTCTTGCTTCGATATGAAACCCGGCTACCAGATTCAAGCCCTAATCCGCCAAAATTGACGATTTTCGTGAACGAATGTCGAGTTGATTTCGATAAAGGGAAGAGGTTGGTGCGATTGAATATTGGTTTTGGGAGAAATCGAGATAAAGGGGTAGAACTAGAACCCAAAATTGACGTCATTTGTGAGGGGTAACCAGAAAGACCGATTCGATTCTGAGTCAGTGACTCGCTTTTAACGTCGTCGTCAGTTTGTTTTGTGACACATTTTAGGGCATGTTAAAGATCGAACTACATTAGTCCACGTCACCATGTGGATAATTTCTATTTTCCAAGCAACATTTACAAAATATACCCTCAAATATAAAACTATTGTTCATCGGCTAATGTCTTGTTTTGGGTTTTTTTTTTCGTCCCTATTTTCTTGTATTTGTTTTATCATTGCAAATTTGCAATCAACTACAATTGGTTTTTACAGTTAAGAGGTAAATGTAATTTTTTCTTCACTTTTTTTAGATGAGTTGTCAATGCTACGTAATTTATTTCTTCCCAAGAACATTTTCAACCCTTAAACTCATAGTTTGTTCTATTTTGATCAATGAAAGAGCAATCACAAAAATTAATAGAAACAACATATGGATCACACTGATTATCTTGATCAACCTTCAAGCATAACAATTAAAGTATGGTTCCTGTTAATTATTAAAGAATGTGTGTTCAAAAAACCTAAACTTGGCAGAATAACGTTAATAATGTTGATTGATTTTATAAAATCAATCCAATAATTAAATATTTAGCCCACATTCTTTATGACTAATATGCAGACCCTTTAATTTTTTTAAAAAGCAATTATTATAATAAAAAAAATAATGAGGGTAATAGGGTATAAGAGTTGTAACCAAAGTTGAGTCCACATCGATCACACTGCCTCCATCCAATTTATTTTTATTTTAATTGCTGATTTATGTCCCATGCATATTAGTTCATCAAATCTTGTTCATAGTTATTTAAATTGACGAAGACGGAGATAGTCCATTACGGTTTTTATTCGTCGAGGACTATATTGGTAAATCCTTGCAATTTTAATTCTCTAATCAGTAAGAGGTGAATTTTAATTTTGTATTACATATTTTATTTTTTGTAACTTGTAATTAAAAGTTAATTATTAATGATAATTTGGTTTATTATAATCATAGAAAAAAAAACGTCAATTTTTTTTTCAAAAAAAAAAGATGTGTTTAACCTATTGCACCCGATTAGTAATAATACTAAAGACGATGTTCATAATATGCACCCACAAGTTGAAAGAAATGATAATATCAAATAGTCGATCAATATGGAACCTGAAAAGAATGATGTGCCAAATTTTAGACAAGTAACAATAGCTTTTTTGATTTGTAATCCCAGACAGAGAACGACTTTTAGATTTAAGATATTCAAGTCACCAACGTGATGATGATATTAGACGATTATATATTAAACTTGGACCATGCCAACTTCAAAAATCAAAGTATCGCTCCAGTCTTAGTGGTACTTAGGGCTGTGCATGGGTCGGTTTTGGACCCAAACCCAACCCAACCCATAAATGTTCGGTTTCTGGTTTTCAGAACCCAATAGGATCGGTTTCTGGTCGGTTCGGTTTCTTGGGTTCTGAGGTCGGTTTGGTCGGTTTCTTGGGTTCAACCCATACACTCACGGGTTCTGGGTTTAAACCCATGGGTTTTGGGTTTTAACCCATTTTTCATAAACGAAGCAAGAAGTAAAATACTTCAAAACACCAAATTGAAGTTAAATACTTCAAAAAACATGAGTCTTACAACCAAATAGTCTACTACAAGTTACAACCAAAGCCCGAAATAGTCTATTATAACCAAAAAAACAATCAAGTATGAGTCGGTTTCTCGGGTTGGATGGGTAGGTTTCTTGGGGTGGTTTGTCGGTTTTAAGTATGGGTCGGTTTCTCGGGTTGGATGGGTCGGTTTCTGGGTAAAAACCGAAACCGAACCCGACTTTTCGGTTTTTAAAAAATTCAAACCCTAACCGTCGGTTTTGCTTCAGTTTTTGTTTTTTCGGTTTCGGTTTCGGTTTCGTCGGTTTCTCGGTTTGTTGGTTTGGGTTTGCTCACCCCTAGTGGTACTAAAGGTCATTGTGTAATTTTCAACAAGCTTGTTTTAAAAACTTTCGATATAGATGGAAGCCCTCCCTTATACTAAAACCCTAGCTCTGCCTCTAAGTATAAACACATAATGATGAGGGTTTGTTTTAGCGATGAACTCTTTAGACTTTATTACATTTTTATTGAAGTTGTCCTAATGCCATTTCCACTACTGGTGTTTCTATATTCATGTATTCCTAATACGGCGTTGGACGAGGGGGGTTGAGGCTGAAAACCTTCCCTTCTGAATTTAGGGAGTTCATGGATTATAGTATTGCAAACACGGGGAGGATTAACATGTACATTGAGCATGAGGGGGAATCGATACATGAATAGATACCATAGATAATAGACGTTGTAATAAATGACCCTGAACCATACCTATGAGATGATGAAGCAAATGTTGGAACACTAGAAAAGGTGGAGGAGGTGAAAGAGGGGTGGTGGCACATGTGGATGCAAATGTGGAAGCATGTGTAGATGCAACATGTGTTAATAGGCTTTTTTTTTAATGTTAAGGTGGATAGGTGGTGTTCTTTTGGAAGATGGGAAGGGGTAGTTATAGAAGATGGAAACATGTGTTTTTTATGTTAACATGTTTTGTTGATAATAGAAGGTGGGAAAGATTTTGATGTTAAAATGTTTTAATGTTAACCATTTTGTGCCAAAAACTTCTTTTTTTTTTAATGTAAAAGCTTTTGATGTCTTTTATGCTAACTATATTGTAAGCCACATTCCCAAATGTGGTGTTTTTTATTATATGGAATACAATTATGGTTTTATCGTTGAGTTAATGCAAGTGTAATTTATACATATACCAAATGGTTGTACCTTTGTTGCTTAGCATTTGGTGAGTTTTTGTAGATGTACTTAGTGAGTTTATTAACATCGTACTTTATTAGCATTTGGTGTGCCATTTTGTGAGTTTACTATAAACAAGTTCTAAAAAACTTATATTGCCGCTTCAGTATTTCATTTCTCATACAATTTAACCATTTAATTTCTAAATACATTAAATTTTGCAAGAGTGCAATAAAACATATTTAAAAGAAAAAAATTATACTCATTGTATCAACTGTACAAAACTCGTAAATGCATCCTCAAACCAACAATGGCAGCACATATATGGTGAATCTATAATTGAACATGCAGTACAATGATAAATTGAATGAACAAGCTCTATAGATCAAACTTGTATAGTTGAATGCACAATCAGAATTTCAAGGATCCACTTTGAAGTTTGAACTCATGAATGCGTAAGGTAAAAACTATAACTCAATTAACATGGAGATCATCAAGAAATTCTTGAAATTGAAAAAACTATTAATAAATTCCCATCATTTATCATCTGGAAATCCCATGAGTTTCTTCAATCCACTAAACAATAACGAAGAAGAAGAAGAAGAGTCTTGAGATGAGTTATTATCCTTGTTATTACCATTGTCGTGGTCGTTGCCATCTTGAAATAAGTGTTGATCGACCAATTGCTTAACGGATTTAGCAGACAATGGATGAAAATTGGAACTCCAATCTGATACGAATTCTTCAGCCAAAACCCATTTGTCATCTTCCTCCATTCGCTCCCATTTTCTCCTCAATTCCTCTATCCCCAATCCAAGGTACAAGCATAGTTCTGCATACAAGAGCTTCCTGCTCGTTTTCATGGCTTCCTGAGTTTGTATCATCTGGATTTTCATCCTTTCGATCTCTGTTGACAAATCCATCGCGAGCTCCATATCATTGATGCTTTTTGAATTGGAACTGGAGCATGAGATTCGAAGTTTTGGTGGGATTTTATTGCAGTGGAGAGACGGATGCGTTTGGAAATTTGTGAATCGTAGGGGGTGTGTTCCGGGAAGGAGATGAACATGAACCCTAATTAGGGCCATTTTAGGGGTGGTGACTGAAGGATTTTGTTTCAGAGAAGTCGATTATTTTGTTAGGGTTTGTTGTTGGCCAGTTGGTTGTTAATTGGGGATTTTGTTTCCATTTTGCTCTATTTTATAAAATAAATCCAATAAAATTTATAAATTGCCAAACCTAACTTCATTTTTATAAGAGTAAATTACACTCCCTCGTCCAGGTTTGCCAAAAAGCACGTTCGGTCCCTATTCTTAAAAATTAATTCGGACCGTCACTGAATAATTATTTTTTCACTCGGGTCATCCCTGCGGACATAAAATTACTCTTTTACCCTTAATAATTTCTTTTTTATTTTTTTATTATTCATTTATAATTTTTTTAGATTTAAAAAAAAAAATTAAAAACCCCACCCATCAACCCACCCCTCTGGCTCCCCCTTCCCCTTCGTTTCCCCCTTTTCCTTCTACCTCATTGAAACCAGGTCACTAGATGAAGAACACCACTCCCTCTGTGTTTTCCGTTCGCCGCCTCTGCACACCATTCATGAAGTCGCCGGCAACCATGAAGCTGCCGACAACCACGACCACATATTTTCTCTTTCTTTCTCTTCCATCGCCGCAGCAACCATCGCCGCCTCCATCTCCGTTCGAAATCACCATCACCCTTCGTCTGCGCTCCACCATAACTGTGTTCTTCCTCACCCTCACCTGAAAAAATGGAAGAAAGGATCTGCTATTTTTCACCTCCATCTTCATTTGAAACCCTAGTTCCACCTCCATCTCAGTTTGAAACCCTGGATCTGAGGTACATTCCGTCGGAGTATTACGAGAGAGACACAGAGAGAGAGAGAGAGAGAGAGAGAGTTTTGTGTTGAATAAAACTCAACAGAGTTTCAACCTTGAAGAAATCGAGTTTGCCATTGTTAACCTCTTTGGAAAAATTTGAATCTACCACCACCTGGAGTGTAGATATGTGAAGAGGTGGTGATGGTTGGTGTTTGTCACACCCCCAAACCTGAACGGCGGAAACATTCGGGGGCGGAGGACGTCATGTACAGTATCATAACAATTGAATAGTAAAGAAAGTACACACCACCATAATATATATTTGAAAAGTTTACATGATTGTTGTATTACATGTTTCAAAAGTCAAATACAATATGATGTTCCAAAAGATGTTACTAACGCCAGAGCATTAGTCCCCAAAGCAATTGCTAACCTGGTTTAGCGATTCCCTGAG